CCACTGTGGACAGAGAAGAAATGACACTTTTCCAGATTATAACCCTGTCACCCACTTTGTAGCTTATTGAAAAACATGTGCCAGTCCCCTAATAACCCAAGTCAGGTCAGCTCCCCCAAGCCAATATCCTATGTGGGCAGTAGGCTGAAAGTAGACAAAGCAAGCCTAGCACCCTTGGATCGAGTAACTACAGATAAAGCCACTTCTTTGGCCCCTGACAGTTTGAGTCCTGGGCTGGGCTGCAGGTTCCCAGAGGCCTGGTTCTTGCACTGCTGAAGACCTGCTCTGGGCTGCTCCAGGAGGGAAACCATAGGGAAGAGTCTGAGGACAGATATGAGAATGAATTCAAACAGGATATGATAGGCATAAGCTTCTCCCACTCACCAACATAGGTGGCATACACACACACAGACACACACACACACACACACACACACACACACACACTTTGGCCCTTAACTTTACTGGATGGACTGCTCTCTGTGAATTAACTGTATTCTCCCACTGGAAGAATTCTTGGTATTTTGCAAACAGATGTGGGGACTCGGGATGTAGCTTATTTAGTAGAGTGCTCTAGCATGCAGGAGGCCCCGGATTGGATCTCCAGCACCACATAAAACAATCATGGTGGCATATATTTGTAATCTTAGCACTCAGGAGGTAGAGGCTAGAGGATCATAAATTCAGATCATCCTCAACCTCATAGAGAGCTTCAGGTCAGCCTGGAGACTATCAAAAAAGCAAAAAAGCACAGGCACAGCTGCATTGCCCTATAGCTGCAGATCATCTGTACCTTCATCCTATACCCACTCAGTGCATTAGAAGACCAAAAAAAAGTGAAGGCTACATGCAGCAAAGGTGGTTTACTAGAATGGAGAATCACCTGGGCAGGATGAGCTTAATTGCTAGAGATCCTTTGCAATAGGCCCTACTATATACTGGCCTCAAGGTATGGATGAGGCTGAGAGTCCCATGAGGTTGGTGAAGATGGCCCTGCACCCAAGGGCTTCACCTGCCTCCCCAACTGTTCAGAGCAGTTTTCCTTTGGTACTAAGAACGGCAAGCACTGGCACCTTTGGGTCCTTGGCCTCCCAAGAATGGCCTCACCCAGACCGCTTGCTAGGCAGCAAATTCCAATCATCGTCCTCATTGTATTCTAACCCTAAAGAAAACAAGGAATCATGCCCAGCAGCTCGTCCATAAAACATTAATCACTGTCCCCTCCTTGAAAGGCTTCCGACCAATGAAGGAATGCTCTACAGGAGCTGTGGAAAAATCCTAAGAGGTCCACACGTGTCCTGGCCACATCAAGGGCAGGGGACTAGCACCAGTTCCTTCAGTGCTTTTCCAACTGAACTCCTGGCTTTGGTTTCAGGGATGCTCAGGACTAGCCTGAGGACCCCACATGCACCTACCAAATCCCCCAAAAGCCCTGTGGTTCTTGGTGTCAAGTGGCAAGTGATTGCCTTAGGCCACCCACACCTCCCACCTGAGCTGCCTTTGAACCCATTGTAGCTGTGAGATAGGTCACGGTACTGGGGCCATGGCCAGTGTTACCAGTCACAGAACCCAGAGAATCTTTGTCACCTCTACCCAGTTTGCTGATCCCAGTTCGGGGTGATTTCAAAGGTCCATCTTCTTATAGACCTGTCAACACATGAACAATAGAGTCCCCTTGATCCTGGAGGAGAAAGTAAAATACCAAAAGAGGTGTTCTAGTTTGTTTCTCCATTGCTGTGACAAAACACTCTGACCAATACCAACTTGTGGGGGGAAAGGGTTTATTCAGCTTACATCTCCCAGGTCACAGTTTATCACTGAGGGAGCCCAAGGTAAGAACTCAGGGAAGGAACCTGGAGGCAGGAGCTGGAGCATAGGCCATGGAAGAATGCTGCTTACTGGCTTTCTCCCCCTGGCCCCTGCTCAGCCTGCTTTCTTATGCAACACAGGCCTATCTGCCTAGGAGTGGCACCACCCCCAGTGGGCTGGGCCCTCCTACATCACTCAACAATCAAGAAGATGCCTTGCAGACATGGCCACAGACTAGTCCAATAGAGGAAATTCCCTAATTGAGGCTCCCTCAACCCAGGTGTGTCAAATTGACAACTAAAGTTAATCAGCACAAGAGGGAACACGGAGCTGTGGAGATGGCTCAGTAGATAAACGTGCTTGCTGCACAAGTCTGACAGACAAATACAGATTCCCAGAATCCACATTTTAATAAAAGCTGAATGCAAAGCAGACAGGTCTGTAATCCCAGCATATCCCTGTGGGGAGATGGAAGCAAAGACAGGAGACTCTGCAGAAGCTCGGGGGCCTCTAGCCTGACAGACACAGTGGCAAAGTGACTCTCAAACAAGGTAGAAAGGTGAGGACTGACACCCAAGGTTGTCCTCTGACCTCCACATATGCTGCAGCATATCTACACCCACTTACATAAACAAGTGTACACACACACATACACCACCCATTGACACATAAAGGAAATGTGGGTCTACAAGGATCTCAGACCTCTGCATGCTTAGAAGGGAGGATTGACCCAACCCTTGAGATCTTACGTATATGGGATGAAAATCCACCCTCATGCTGGTAGAAGAGTTCATTACAAGGCTCGAGCTAATACTTGCCATGTAAGGGTTTGGAAAATTCTTCTAATCTGTGCCAAATCTGCTCAGGGGCCTCCGAGAAGGTGTGGTTATTATAGCACTACAGCCTTGTGCTCTTGTGAGTTTAAAGGAAAGACAAATATTCTAGGACTCAGTGGCTGCTAGAATACATCCTGCTTCCTCATAGGCCAGGTGCTGAAGGCATAAGCTGTTCTGGCTGAGCTGTCCTCACAGCAAGGCCATGGAGGGCTCTGAAGGGCGGAGGCCACCTGTGGTCTGGTCTCAGCAGGGGCACAAACAGAGGGAAGTGACAAGCACCCCCGACCAAGCACCACACATGCTAAACACCTGACAGTTCAGGAGCCTGGGGACAAAGGTTGAGTCCTAGAGGCTTTCAGGAAATTTGCTGCCTGCATTAAAATCAGATGAACAAAACAGACAGGGCTCTGCTCACTCAAGGAGCCCTGTCCTATCACAGTTATTTCTTGAACCCTCTTGTCTGTGCTGGCCAAGTAGAACATTAGCAGGGCAGAGTCTGAAACCCCAGGGAGATGGATGCCTAGAACCCTGAGCCCATGGGCTAGAGAAAGAGTGTGGGGCAGCCTGGTCCCAAAGCTATTGTACCCGTGTCTAATAGCACCTTGGCTTAGCTTAGTGCATCATTATGCCTCTTGATTCAGTGCTGGCCTTCCTCTTCTTGTATATTCTGGTGGGTGAGTCTCAGCCTGGTGGTGCTCACATGTCTCCAGCCATCACTGTGTGCAGCCGCCCTACAAGAGCAGGCTTTTCCCAATGCAGAGGCTCCTGGGCCAGTCCTTCTCCCTTGTGCCTCCCCCAACCCTCACAACTCTGAAGGAGTAGATGCAACTGCAGTTCGCTCTGGCTTCTCTGCTGGCCTGGAGTTAACTTAGCAAGACATCTGAACAGAACAGGCATCCCATGGTGGAGACAGCAGATCTTTGAAGTCAGGCAGAGAAGTTTCATATCTCAACCCTGCCACCATCCTGCTGTGTAGACTTGTAGAACAAGGCTTGCTGTGTAGGACAAATCATCTCCCCTTCAGGGGCCCCAACATCCACTGTAAACGACAGCTTCTCTGTCTTCAAAAATTGTAAAGATGAGAGATTTTGTCAGTGACCCTGACACTGCGTAGGTGCCTCAGAAACCCTAGTTTGTGAGCTCTTCTTCAGGGCCTGCCTCTGAGCTCTTGAATTCTAGAAGCTCTAACCTGTACAAGAATGGCCATATTATATAATCAAAATGGAGGGAAGTAAAGGCAGGAGTGACTGCCCAGGGATTGAGGTGGGGATCTGGAATCCATGGCAGAGATGAGGGGGGACTTCAGACTAGGAGATGGGACTAGGTAAGGAGGCAGGCTAGGGGGGACTGTGAGAGATTACCTTGGCACACCCTCACAGGTGAGGCTGAGTGGTCGTGGACTAGCACCTATACTATGCTATAGCCTGGCAGTCAGTCTCCCATCCACACCAGCACATACCCCATCAGGTGTATTTGCATGGGCTGGGGCAGCTCCATGGCCCCATGCACACTGCAGTAAGAAGGCCTGCTCTAAAGACACTAAGTCCTTCCCAGCATGCCACTCTCTGACCCGCCTCTATGTCATCATGGTGCATCTCTCAGGAGCCATGTTGTGGTTCTGAGACCCTACCATGCAGCCTTCCCTGCTCAGCCCACACTCCTGGTGACTGACACCTGTGCTTGTGGCCTGGAAAGAGTTTCATGAGGTTGATGGTTCTCCACGCCCCACAGAGAGCAGGCCTCAGTAGAAAGAGCAGGCTTGCCCATGGCTTTTCCCTATGGTCAGGCACCTCAGTTCCCCTGAAGTGTGAGTGCATGGGATCAGTGTCAGGAACCTGAACCCAACTTTCAGTGTGGCATAGCACTGGAGTCATTTTTTCTGATGAGTCAGTCTGTCCCCCATGACCCCAAGTCCCATGGACACCCCAAGACACGAGTGCAGGAGGAGTCCCTAGTGTGAGCTGAGGTAGGGGAGAGGCCTGGCAGGGTTGTGGCTCTTCAGACCCCACTCTGAGGAGGACTAACAGGGTTATAACTTCAGTGCTTCCTGACTCTGCTTCTTCCAGAATCCAAAATGGTTCTCATTGCCCCATTTAAACTGGCCAGAACCTCTGCCCCACCATAGCTGTCCCCAGACCGCCACAGTTGTGGGCCCCACTCTTTAGTCCCATTCTGAGGGCATGACCCTGTGCCCCTCTGGGGTCTGTGATACAGCAGTGCCCATCCCCTGGGTTCTAAGAACACAAAGTCAGGCTATGCTGCCCCCAAGACTGGGTCTCCTGCAATGAGACCAATCACCTCAGACTAGGGCTTTGTGGAGATGGAGTACCAACAGAAAAACTAGAGAGCCTGGAAGACCTTACAAGTCATTTTTCTTTAATTTCTTAACATATGATGAAATTTTAATTCCAAAGAGACATAAACACAGAGTAGACAGATTTAGGGTCCTGAATCACAGTGGCGAGAGCCAGGCAGGGTGGGTCTGCCCTGCCCCCTCCAGCATAGCCCTCACCCTGCACCCTGGCCCCTGGCCATTGATCAGGCAGAAACTGAGAAGCTGGAGATAAGAAAGATCCACTTTATGGTCCAGGAAGTGGCCAGACAGGGCCTTGGTTGCTAAGATTGACCTAATGCTGTCTAGCTGGGCACATGGGTCCTCAGTGTCTTTCTCTGTTAAATGGGTTACACGTGCCTGTTAAGGAATGCAAAAGAGCACAGCTGAGATGTGCTAGTGGCCATGGTCTCCTGACTGGCTGCCTCTGAGCACCTGCTGGCTGTCTCTTAGTTTCTATTGGCAGCATAGCTAAGGACATGGTGGTGGAACTGCTGTGGCTTGTTGAGACTGAATGGACCAATCTAGAGGGCAGACTGCAGATGCCAGCCCTTGCGCTCACTGTGCTCTGAAATGTACTTAGGTTGCAGCAGGAGCTACATCATCAGATCAACTGACCTCTCTCCTCTAGGTCAAGGTAGAGGGAAGGCTGTGCCTAGGGTCACAATGTGAGCCTGTGCAGGTTGTCCAAACTCTGACAAAATTCCCCCAGCTAGGAGCTCATGAACCAGGGCAGGAGCAGTCTCCTTCCTCAGAATGAGGTATGGGCAGCCAAGACCCTAACTGCCCAGCATAGGCATCTATCCCCAGACTGCTTCGCATCTGGATCCTTCTGTCCTCAGGCTTGGGGCCACAGAAAACCCACACATATAAGAGCATCCTATGATTACACTGAAAGAGGACATGGACACCTCATGTACTAGGCTGCTGCTCTCTAACTGGCCTTCATTCTGTAACAGTGAGCCTGCCTGGGGATGCTTCTTCCTGAGAAGAATCACTTCCAACATCCGGGACTGCCTCTGCTTCACAGGTCTTCCAAATGTGCACATGATCTGGGGATGTGTGGAAAGAGCTCAAGCCAGGTGGGTAAAGCCATGCAGGCTGGACTGTTCCTTTCGGAGGCTGTGGTTTGTGTACACTTACAGAATCCACATAGCTGCCCCCCACCTCTTCCACTCTACACTGAGGCCCTAACATAGGGACAATTCCAAGGTCCTATAGCCAATCCAAGGGGTAGGGACCTGGGAGCAAGCCAGATGGAGGGGGCACAGCTGGTTTGGTCACCTCTAGCTGTACCTTCTGGGAACTCCTTCTTCTCAAAGCACCTTTGGGGGCAAGGTGTGGCTTGAAGAGGGCCATGTTCAAAGGCGCAAAGTCACGAACAATGACAAAACCCCAGGCACCTGTGGTGGGTGACTTGCTGGGCAGCTTTGGGATGAGGGGAACTTTCCAGCACACCTCCCATCACACTCTGAGGGGGACAACCAGCAGGTGGGTCCCTCCCTTTCACCGTCCCTGTGGTATCCAGGGAGTGAGTGTGGAGTTGGTAAATCTTGGTTCCCAGGAAGCCCTGAGACCAGGAAACAGAAAGAAAGAAAGTAACAGAACAGCCCCAAACAAGGCTAGACCACACAGGTCAGGCAGGTCTGAGGGGAGTGACTTTGACCAGCTTGTCAGAGTATCTACAATATGATTTCAGCCCTCCCCTCCCTCTGCCCATCCCTGCCCCACCCCCATATGGATGCCCAGGCCAGGCCCACTCTATTTGGGCTTCATCTCCACCCTGGAGTTGATGTCATCAGCATCCAGGTCATATTCCTCCACCTGGCCACTGGTCCACACCTTCATGCGGTCCGTCAGGTCGCTGCTGCGAGGGGCCAGGATGAAGTCGTAGATCAGCACAGCCAAGGCACTGCCAATGAATGGCCCCACCCAGAAAATCTAGGAAACAAGCATAGTTTAGAGGGCAGCTGGCCACATCAACCCCCCCCCCCACCAGGGGTGTCTCCCCCAACCTGTGTTAGAAACCAACAGGTCAACCCCTCCTCCCCACTATTGATTCCAATGCCCCTCAGAGCCTAGGCCAGAGTATGATAGGAGGTATGACCTGGCCACTATGTGGTCCCACTCAGGCATCTCAGTACCAGTCCCCTCCTGAGGATGGCCACTACCTCCTCTCCCCAGTTTTGGAACATCCCCCAGAGATGGTCCAGTCTAATAGAAGGTTAGACAGGAAGACACAGACCAACAGTAATTAGAGTCAAAACCCACACAGTGTTTCCTCTGCCCAGAACTTGGCTTATAGACACGGGTCCTCTCTTCCTCCTAGCAACCCTGGGAGCTTCAACTACCCTAAGCTCACGTCACAGCCTGGGAAACTGAGAGAACAAGAGGAAGGCCAATAGCCTGCCTGAAGTCACTATATCAGAAAGTGACAAAGACTCTAACCCCAGCTGTCCACTATGCTGCTAGGATGACTAGGGAGTGGGTAGATCCGCAGGTTTGAGCTTCCAGAGCAGAGGTTAGGTAGGAGTCTTCTCCCAATGCAAGCCCAGCCCCTTCGTCTCAGACCTAGGTTTCCAGATTTCCCCTGCCCTGGAGTCGCCCAAAGTCGCTGTGAGACAAAGCACACCAACAGGGTAGGGTGGAACTTGCTTCCGCTGAGTCCCTGGTGACTTACCCAGTGGTTTGAGAAGTTGTGGGTAAGCACTGCAGAGCCAAAAGACCGGGCAGGGTTGATACCACAGCCAGTGTAGTCAATCTATAAGCCAGGTATAGAATAAGTCAGGAATGGGTGAACAGGAAGTGACAAAAGGGGGACAGAGAAGGGAGGCAAGAAGTGGGCAACCAACCCCAAAGGAGAGAAGGGCATGGTCAGACATACCCTTGTCCCCTTTCCCATCCTTCAGAGCAGGCCTGCCATCCCCCACCCAATAGCATGAATGCCATCCAGAGCCCCAAGAATGCCCACACTAGGCCCTCCTTCAGTTCCTGCCTTGGCTCTGCTGCCCCGCCCCAACCTGGGAATACCCCAACTCACTGCCAGCAGGTGTCCCAGGGCCACAGAGAAGCCGATGGCAAGGGGCGCTGAGCCACCGAGGTCACGGCGCCTCCGGTCGGTGGTGGCCAGCACACACAGCACCAGCTGCAGGGTGCCAATGATCTCGATGCCCAAACCCTGGCCTGAGTTCACACCATTAGCCAGCTGCAAGGGAAAGGAGAGACGAAGCCCGGTGAGCTGGGCAGGTGGCAATGTTGTACCAAGACACTCCCAGAGCTCCAGGGCCAGGCACCAAGGGCCAATCCTCAATTCTCTCACTGCATCCCCAGCCAGACACATTTAGTAGGTAATGACAATAGGCCTTGTCCCTTCACACCTGTTGATTGCCTTGGCCTCTAGTCCTATCTATACCCTGCCTGACTCTGCTCACTGGCCCAGGGTGAAGCAGGGCCTCTTTGTTAGCTACATGGCGTGGCCAAGGTCACTCGTGAGGGGCAGGCCTCAGCGAAAGCAAGTGGTCAGGGACATTCATAGAAGAAGAGAAGCAAGTAGATTAGAGGACCCAGGTGGAGACATGGTCTCATCCTCTTAGTTCAGAACGTTCCCTGACTGTCTCTATCTCCTTTTACCTTGCCCTCTCTATTTTTCCTCCTTCTCTTCCTCCTCCTCTTCCTCCTCTTCTTCTTCTCCTCCCCCCCCTCCCTCCGCCCCCCCGCCTCCTCCTTTTTCTTCTTCTT